CCTCGCGGCGGCGGCGGCGAGCGCCGGAAGGCCGGGCTGAGGAAAGCGCGGGCTCAGGCGCCTCCAGACGTGGCGAACACCCGTGGTAGCTGTTCCCGGTGACGCCTGGCCGCACGGTTTCGCGCCCTGCGGGAGCCCCGCCACCTCCTCAGAGAGCGCGCGGTCGAGTGCGGCGTGCGCGGCGGGACGGAGCTCGGTCGATGCGCGGGTGGGGGAGTGGAGGCGAGGAGAGCCGGCGGGGGACGGGAGCGGCCGTCCCGGCTGGGGAAGGGGTCGTCGGGACTCTGCCCTTGACACAGCAGTGCATATTAACAGTGCTAACTTTTCCCGAACATTCGTTTTGGGACAATGCATTCTTCTGTGCCCTTTGCTTGTATCAAACTCATTGGCCACTGCTAACGATGCACAAGGTGCTATCCCTGTCTGCAGATGAGAAAATTGAGGCCCAGCGATGCTGACGGCTCTCGTAAGCCCACGGGGGTAGGAGGTGGTGGCGGCGCTAGCGTGGAAACCCCCGAGAGCCTGGAGAGTGGAAGAACCGGGGCTGGGAGAAGGGCCGGCGCCTCGGTCGCCTGGAGGGGAGCGGCCGCGGCAGTGGCCGCCTCTCCGCCCCCAGGCCCGCACAGATCCGAGCCTGCCCTGAGGCCTTCTGCCCCGCGGGTGCGGTTTCCCGCCTGCCCGGCCCCGCCGCCCGGCGCAGAGGCCGCTCGTTCCTCCAGCCCTCTTCCATCCCGAGACTGTCTTCGGTTCTGGTAATGGAAGCCATTGCTCTGTAGCCCCGTCAGACGGTCTCTGAGGGCCCAAGTGTCGTTCTCGCCCGAAGCTCCTCGGCTCTTCCCTTCCTCCTCTCCCTCCCTCCCTCTGAATGCCAGCGGGCTCTCGGGGCGCCAAAAGGTCAGGACCAGAGCTCATGCCCTTGGGGAGTGTGACAGGCGACGTACAATGAAGACACCTCAAAACAAAAAGCAAAAACTGAAAAGCCTCTCTTTAACCAATGCGTGCAGGGGCCGTGTCTGAGGTGGGCGGGCTCTAAGCCTTGTGTTTGCTTTGATAGTATTAATATGTGAAAACTCTGTTGACACCCTCTCCTTGTCTGAGACCCCTTTTCTTCCTCTGCCTGTGGTAAGGTTTGAGAGCTGGATATTGCTTTTAACCTACTTTTTGTAGTTTGGGAATGGATTCAGGGGTGCGTGAGGGTGGGGAGGAAAGAGTTCTTATCAGGGCACATCCTGAGCCGTCTAAGTTTTGCCCTCCCTTTGGGAGTGCACTTTTGCTAGGGCGCCACTCCGAGGGGCTCTGAGTCATTTCTTCCACTCACCATGTGCCATAAAAGTGAAAGATGGCGAAGCTGGAGACCTTTCTTGCCTGTGATGAGCATATGCTCTCAAGGTTTTTGTTGTCCGTTGTTAATTTCCCAAGCCTACTTTTCTACCCCTTTAAGTTGTTTGTCATGGCTTCATACTATTCCATGAAGACAATGGCATATAATTTTCTTAATTAGTCTTCCACTGCAAGATAATTAAGTGGTGGCCAACATTTCATTGATAAAAACATTGATTGACTAACCCATTTGTCTATATACTTTTTCCATGTTTTGGATTATTTCCTTAGGATGTACTCCCAGAGTTGGCATGGTCAAAGGTGATGAACATTTTGATACTTTGACCACTCTGATGGCTCTTCATATAGTTCCATGCCAAGGGGCTTGGCTTAACTGGTTAGCAGCTAAGATAGAAATATGTGGAAGAAGAGAACCAATGCTCTTGGGAAATTTTCAAGCCCATGATTCAATCTTTTAATTCTACTTACAGGTTTTTGTGGCATCAAAGCTTTTGAGAATGGTGATAATGTTAAAAGAATTATTGAAGTTAACAATTTTGACTTGGATTCAGATACATAAGAGAGAGAAGATGAAATTAGAAAAATAGTCCATTAGATGATTAGAATAACTCTGGGATGATGTTATTGAAACTGTGAATGGGCTTTTAAATCACTTGTAGGGGGAAATTAGTGACTGTTTTATAACTAATGTTTGCTTGCCACTGAATTCTGACCCAATTTAGGCTTAAGTAGTGCAGATTTGGCTCTGACTAGGAATGGTGAATCCTTGGAAGTGAGAATACATGAGAGTACGTGTACATAATTACATGGGTCTGACATTTAGAGGAACCTTCTTGCTAACTTGGCAAGCAGGACTGGCCTAGAGACCATGCACTGAGCCTTCTTCATTGCTTGTGGGGTTATGCACTGATTGACTTTGAGGGCCATAGTAGTTGTCTTAGTAGGTTTGATTCACTCACTGCAAGCCTTGCCCCAATTTAAACAGAAACTTGGATCCGATTGCAAATTTGTGTCTTTTTTCAGATTCCAGTCCAATATCCTGCAATAGCTTCAGCTATTTTTTTACTAAACACATTTTTATCTGGTTTCCCTGAATGATCCTTTTTCTGAGGTTTATCTCATGCCTCCCTCTGAATTTTACAATCCCTTCCCTGAGTCACCATTAATGAATTCTTGGAGCTGCCTCAGCTCCTTCATTTTTCATTTGAAAGTTTTCATTTGTTTTAAGTGTTAAGAGCCCATGGGGTGATACAAATCTTGGATTTATATTGTGAAAGAAATGCTTTCTACCAGGACACCTTCACTTCCACCAGGAAATCTTATTACCCCTCTGTTTTATACAGACTAGTCCTGCTCCAGATGTTGTTGGGTTAACAGGAGAGGACAAAAGTACATAGTCTTCATGATCAAACTTGTGATTGTTTATGAAGACATGCTCATGAGAGTATGTTACAAAAAAGGAGGATATAAAATTAGATATAGTAAGATTCTAATTTTGTAACAACCCAGAATTAAAACAGTACAAAACATATATAAGGCACTAAAAATCCAGAAGAAAAGCTACAAAATATTAACACTAATTACCCCTGGATAGTGGAATTATAAATAATTTTTACTTCTTAAAAATTTTTTTACCTGATAAGTTTTCTAAAATAAATATGTAGTGCTTTTATAATGAGGATAAAAAAGAGAATGATTAACATTTTTAAACCACAAAGAAAACAGAGCTCTTAAAACTATGTATTTCCTTGTGTCTGGTAGCATGAATAGAGACACAGCATTAGAAGCAGTGCAAAGCAGCCCTTTTGTGCTTTCCCATCTGCTTCCAGGGGTCGTCAATAAGGCTCTTTCTGTCACTCCCAAGAGGCCAGGTGCAGCCACAATGGGGATGTGCCTGGCACCATCCAGCACCCCTCCTGTGGCTTTCTCAGATCGTCAAACATAAGTGACTAGTCCCTGATATCTTATTGTTTGAAGAACCATTATTTTCTTGGAGGGGAATGAGTGTCTGCCTCTTGTTAATACTCATCCTTTTAGTTCCAACCATATAATCATTCTAGAATCTTGTTTCTGAGTGCTGGTTAAAGTGCAATTCGGTCCACTCATTCATTCTTTAAAACAGAAGCAGTTGATAAGTGTGATAACTGGCTTTATGGATTTGCCTAAGTTGGAGTGTTTTTCTCAAATTTCTATGTAAACTGCATCATGGAGGGCCAGAGTCATTACTTACAGGAGAACCCAGCGGGGAATCCTGGCCTGTCTTCACTTCTTCCTTCTGCCTCCTGCTTCTCTCATGGCATCTCCCTGCTGTGCCAGCTCCCACGGAGGAGGAGCCCCACAACTTTCCAGGATCAGGAGGTGTAAGAAGCCTCTTCACTCTTGTTTTGGAGGTAGATGTTTTCACCCTTTTGGCTCCCTCTTCCCCATGAGGCACTGTGCAGGCTAAAGCAAGTCCACCTTGGATGCTAGTCTGCCACGTTGACTTCAGATTAACCCCAGTTCTGGGAATACCTCTGAGATTCCTACTTTCACGCATTTACCTTAGGTCGAAACAACCTAAACTTGTACTTAACCCATAAATCCTGTCCTTAGGCAAATTCTTGCCTTTCCCTGAGTGGTCAATTTTCCTATACTTTCCTTCCCTATATAAGCCCTGGGTCTGGGGGGAATAGTAAGGGAGACCCACCAATTTGCCTGGAGGCCACCCAACACATGGCTTCTGTTTGTAAGTCCCTGTTGTATGTGTTTCTTTCTGGGAAACAGGATTTGTCAGCCTCTTTCTTTGGCCTCTCAGCTTCCTTAGCCTTTAGGTGTGGGTTTGCATAGACCTGCCCACTGGGAATAGGCATATGCTATGTTCATCATCTCTTCCTCCTCTGAGTAGTCTCAAAGAACCACAGTTTTCTGGCCTAACTGACCACACTGAGGCCTCTCTGGAATTCCCACAGCCCTCCTGGGATTTGAGGGAAAAACTGGAATAATGGTCTCTTCTCAGCATCTGTAGCCACTCTGGTCAGGACCCTGACTGGGCTCACTGTGAGCCTGGATTACTCCAAGCAACACTGGGAAGTCAGAGTGTTTCCTGCCCCTAGACTTTTGTGTACTTCGCTTTTCTTTTGTAAGCCTGTCTGGGAAGGGTCCCAGGAACTAACTCACACCAGAGGCGTCAATGACAAAGGAGGCTTAAAATAATTCTCTCTCAGAAGTATTTGCATTTTGACTGGGAAGGAAGCTAATTATGACCTTTCAGGCATCTGGTATCAGATAAGAGAGGTATTGGGCAGTCATGACTGTTGAAAACCTCTGAACTAACTACGTTAGTTATTATGAATAACTACAGTTATTCATTATTTAACAAATATTTATTGAGCACCTACTATGAATGAGGCACTGTGTACAGTGAATAATAATAGATACTTTGTGCTCTTATGGAGCTACGGGTTAGCTCTGGGCACAGCAATACATTATTACATAAAATAATGGGACTGATTTTCTTGGGTAGCTTATGAAACCTAATCTTGTTTTATTTGAGTAGCATTTGAAGTAGCTCACTGCTCTTGACCTCTTCTTAAGCCACCTGATTATCCATCACATAGAGACATTCTGTTCATCCTTTTTTTTTTGCCTAGTCCATAGAGCACCAAGTTGACTAGAACTGGTCGAGGTCAAACAAAATTTAATTTTGAAGCAAACAATGCAATAGCAATTTGGCATTTTAGGTTTTGCCCTGTAGGGAACAGCTGTTGTTTTTGCTTGCCTGGCATCTTTTAAGGAAGCCTGAAAGAAACAAAGTCTTCCTGGCCTGGTAATGACTTTGTGCTACCTAAGACACCAATGAATTTCTTTAATCCCAAATGTAGAAATCCCAGTATCAACTGTGCAAGTGCAATGCCTACCCATGGTTGCTTCAGGAAAAGACAGCTGTCAGCAAAAGGGCTACAGCACCAACAAAAATCAGTCCCTGCACCCCACAGATTCCCTGCCAAGAGCCCCCCTCATTAATTAAGAACTCCTGGCAATGGGGCATCTATTTTTTTACAAAATTGACCAAATAAGGTGACTACTAGAACTGGGTGGATAGAAAGGTATTTTGACACCAATGAGGATGTTCCTGCAATGTCACATTCTTGTCATTTTGATTGCTCCTTTCTCATCTGCTACTATGATGTTTAGACCCTCCAGAAGCAAAATAAAGTGTTATTTTCATATCTATATCCCACACTTTCCATGCCTTTCTCAAGTAAGGGAATGTGACCCCTTCTATCACATACTCGTAATCACGTACATATTCACAAAGCACTTGCCCAGATATGTGTGTGTGTATAAACAACTCCGAGACATATATAAATAAAACCATATATTGTTTAAGGGGTAGACTTCTCTATAGGCAGATAGACGATTGACAGTATATAGATCTCAAAATAACTCGCACACAAATACCACCCAAAATCTGCTAAAATCCAAAGTTTATGATAACTATGATAGTATCGGTCTCAACCAGGCTACAAGTTTGTTACAAGTTACAAACTATTTAAAAATAGTTTTGAAAAAAACTGTATCCCAAATATTAACACTATCCTGGAGTTAGAAAAACTGTAAATGAGACAAGAAAATTGAGGTACGAGTGGTGACATAAGGCCTTTTTGTCTGAGAGACTGTTTTCTGAAGTCAGGGTAGGATGTGGTCTAGCAGACCTACAGAAAAACAATTGCTCCAACCACCAAATCAGCACATTGAAACACTGACATACTGAAATCAGAATAAGGGCCAACCTTAAAGATTAAACATGTATTTTGAGTAACATCTTTCAGCAGGAGGGCATGAAGAGGGCAGAGGAGTAAGTTAAGGACTAGGCAGGCAGCCCCCGTCCCTTGCAAAACAGCCTATGCTCCCAAAACAGAATATTACAGCAAGAGCAACCCAGTAAGAACAGACTACAGACCTCAACTCGCTAGGAAAAACGTTTTCATTATGTAGCTTGCACATCACAGCACTTAAGGCACCTTCCAGGAAACAGCTAATCATGCTCAAGGGTAACCTTCTGGAAGTGCAAAATTTATCCTCGCAGGACAAGTCAGGGAGCCAGCATTGTTCAGGCCTCACTGCTCAGCTTTTAGGATGAGGAGATGCAGCGCAGACCATGAAACCTCCTGACATTGTCATGGGCCCTTCCGGTCTCCTCGAGGGTGGCGGAGGGAGCGAGCTGGGCCAGCGACCACCCGTGGTGGTCATCACCTAGAAAACCACAGGACCGGAAATGCTCCTGTTGGTGGAACAGACACTTTTGAAAATGGTCCAATAATTATCTCTTCTAGTCCAATGTTTTAAAAATTGGTTGGCCAGTTCAAATTTGGACCAAGCCAAAAAGTTGTCTCCAGGGCCTTGATGAAAATTTAAGGTCTCTTGTAACTTATCGGATTTATATTTTCAGCAATGCGATTTTCGTTTGTTTCTGACCACCTAAAATTAGTTTTTACTTACGTTTTAGAACCATAAAAACTTCAGAACAGTAAAAAGGCCGTAACTTTACACAAGCAAAATGTGATAAGCTAAATCTGAGCTCAGTTTGGAGGTCGGCTGCAGGGACTGGTGGGTGTGGACAGTAGCCAGGGCTCCACGGGCTGCCCACTGTCCCCTGGACAGTTGTCACCACAGTACATTGTTTTAAATAAGCTTCTTTTTTAAACCCATCCCATCAAATGACATAAACTCAAGCTGATAAAAGTCTGCTGCCCTCAGATCCAGTCTCCCCACGTGTGAGGGAGCATTCGGTGTGGAGGTCAGGAAATAACCCGGCCTGGGTCTCCAGCCTCACTCCAGACGCTCCGCACAGTCTGCTCCTGCAAGGGCTTCGTTTGCTGCTGCGACTGTTGTTGTTGCTGCTACTTCCAAAGAGATGTCTCCAGCAGCTTCATCACGAGGGCACAAGGAACTCTTTTTCACATTTTAGTGTCCTGGACAGGAGTGTCAACCTGTAAATGGAGGAGTAAAGAATGAATTAGGAAAAGGGTGAGGAAATCCTGGCACTTAGCATATTTCCTTGGGGATCCTAGATCTGGCGATAGTAACAGCAGGAGGAATAGCAATAATGAGAGCAATAAGAATGCTATGTGCCTGGCATAGTTTTTTAAATTATACATGCACCAACTCATTTAATCCTCACAAAAGCAATATGAGGTGGATGCTTCTATTTAACTCTGTTATAGGTGAAGCAGTTAAGGCACAGAGAAGTTAAATGACTGTAGCTCACACAGCTAGTAAATGGTGAAGTCAGGATTTAAACCCAGGAACCAGAGCTTGAATCTTCAACTGCTAGGTGATACCGACCATCTCTTGATGCCTGGCTTCCATGTCCCTCTGGCCTGGCCGCTTACCTACTCACTCATTCCCAATGTCCTCTTTCTGAAGTACTGCTCAAGATTTTTTGGCAGCATAAAAATGGAAAAAGAACAGAAAGAGCTGAAAATAAAAAACTGATACTTGAGTGAAAGGACAGCAAAGTAGCTATTTATTCAACATTCTTTTTTTCTTCAACTTTTTATTTTTTGCTATATTGCCCAGGCTGGTCTTGAACTTCTGGCCTCAAGGGATCCACCCACTTTGGCTTCCAAAGTGCTGGGATCATAGGCATGAGCCACCACACTCAGCCTTAATAGTCATTCAAAAAAAGGTATTAGTTTCAGCTCCTTCTGTGCTACCTGTGCTGACACTCAGGTCTTACCTCATCTCCATCATTCTTTCTTTTTTTTTTTTGAGACAGAGTCTCACTCTGTCACCTGGGCTAGAGTGTAGTGGCATCAGCCTAGCTCACAGCAACCTCAAACTCCTGGGCTCAGGCAGTCCTCCTGCCTCAGCATCTCGAGTAGCTGGGATTACAGGCGTGCGCCACCATGCCCGGCTAATTGTTTTGTTTCTATTTTTAGTTGCCAGGCTAATTTTAGTAGAGACGGGGTCTCGCTTTTGCTCAGGCTGGTCTCAAACTCCTGACCTTAAGCAATCCTTCTGCCTCGGCCTCCCAGAGTGCTAGGATTACAGGCGTGAGCCACCACAGCTGGCCTCCATCAGTTCTTTGGCTGAAAAACTAAGACATTTAGGAATGTGACCGTGGTGCAAGGTGGGATGTGACGTGGACCATCCTCATGGGCTACACTGAGGGTGAGGAGGTCTGCGAGGAGCTGGCGCATTTGTCCCTGGAGCAACCAGGGAAGGCCTGCGGAGGGGAAGATACAGATGCGGTGAGAGGAGTAGAGGGAGAGAGATCTCAGGGAAGGACAGTTACAGGCCTGAGGGAGGCGAAGGTGGGAATGCAGGGGACTGTGTCCCCGAGAGAACTAAGAAGGGTTAAGGGCCAAGAGCTGAGTCTCTTCCACCTGCCCAGTTAACTGGGAGGGAGAAGAAAGAGGAGAGAGCAAAGTAAACACTACACAGTTACAAAGATAGGGACTTTCAAGAGGAGGTTGTATCTCATCAGCTCAGGGAGAAGAGGATTGGAAACCAAATGCTGAGAAAGCAAGGAGACCAACTTGGAAAAGCCACTGAGTCAGGCAGTGAGGAAGTCAGCACTTACTGGTATGTACAACAATGTCTCAGATGTGGTGTCAAAACATCTGGAGTGTCTTTGTTCGGATGTTTGTCTTTGGCATGCTTGAGTGCCCCACCCAGTACTGGATGCATAACGAGTGCTCAAGAAACACTTGTTAAATGTATTTGAAGTATTCGAGTTGTATCTTATTAGTGCCCTCTTTCCAGGGCTACTGTTCCTTATACACAGAATCCTAAGTGCAGTGACTTGATATGTCCAGCTGGCCCCATGACTGGAATCCCCAGGATGGCTCCTTCTTTCAGCATGAAATGTTAAAATACACGTGAGGGGCAGCAGAATAGGAAGGTCACCCTTTATTGTGCTTACACACACCTGTTGCCTCTGGCATACTTACGAAACCTTCCCCTGCTTTCTCTTGCAGAATGAATTGCTCCCTCCTTTGTGATCACATGGTGCTCACTGTTCAAGGGCAGAATCCCATTTATTCTACTATCTCGTCATTATGTGTTTATGCCTCTGTCTTTTTCATCTTTGAACCTATAGTATCTCACATAGTAGGCATAATTGGTGCTTGTCAGATGTTGATTGCATGAATGCAACCATAATTAGTTTATCTGATCAATCTATTTCTGCAATCAAGGAACAAGATGGGGATTAGATTAGGGAGTTGGAAAGTAGTTTAGTGGTGTGTGCTGGATCCAGGGAGGACCTGGGACAGGCACAGGTGCCTGGGGAAGCCCATGGCCCAAGGGGCCCACCTCGAGATGGTTCTCACTGTGATCTTAACCTTGTCCAGGCTTGAGAGGGACAAAAGAGGATTGGAGACAATGCCCCTTCCAGATTAAATAAGTGATGCACATGTGCACAGGTACTTCGTAAGCAGTTTATTCTGGTGGCTAGAGCATGTGCCCAGTATGTCAACATTGATTGAGCTCCATGACCCTGGACAACACCTGTCCCCATTTGGAGCTTTGGATTCTTCCTTTCCAAAACTAGGGGATTGGGCTAAATGATGTCAAAGTTTCACATCTCAGTGATGGATAAGGAGAGGAAAAGGCATGGAGGGATGGTAAATGGAGCTACTCTTTCCCACCTGAACTGCCTATTTGGGAGGAGAGTGTTCCTGAGGGTGCTGGGCAGTCTCTTCCCCTTGCCAGGGCTCTGTCAGGAATAGAAGTGATGAAGCTCAAGAGATTACTGGTTTGAGCCTGCCCCCAAAGCTCCTGGAGTTTATGCAGGTAGCCTTCTTTTTTCTTTTCTCTTCTTTTTTTTTTTTTTTTTTTGAGACAGAGTCGTGCTCTGTTGCCTGGGCTAGAGTGCAGTGGCATTCATCATAACTCGCTGCAACCTCAAACTTCTGGACTCAAGTGATCCTCCTTCCTCAGCCTCCCAAGTAGCTGGCACTGTAGATGCACCTCAGCATGCCAGGCTAATTTTTCTATCTTTTTGTAGAGATGGGGCCTTGCTCTTGCTCTTGCTTAGGCTGGTCTTGAACTCCTGAGCTCAAGCAATCCTCCCACCTTAGCCTCCCAGAGTGCAGGTGCAGGATTATAGGTGTTAGCCACCACACCAGCCAGGAGGCCTTCTTCTACCTGAGACCTTCCAGAAGCACCCCCCTTTCCTGGCTAGCTTTTTAACCAAGGTGACTTTTTAACCCTTCAGGATTGGAAGATGCTGTCAGTGAGATGGGAAGGTGTCCTGGCACTGCAGGTGCCTCCTACCTTGAAAATAAGATGTAGCAACCACTGGCAGCTGATTACTTGAACCCAGTGGCTTCATCCTCATAAAGGACTAAGGGTTGGGGCCCATATTTGCCTTCTGGAGACTTAATGGAACCTCCTAGCTCCAAAAGATCTTAAATTTAAAGATTGCTCATTCTAAATTTAATTTAAGCATTGCTCATTTAGAATAGAAAGTATTAAAGAAATATGATGCATCTTACCCCAACAACTCAACCTACGGTCTCAGTTATACCTCATGAGTCTTTGGGACCTCTACTTTTTGCTCCCTGGTCTAGTTTGAGAATAATGTGAGAGCCCTTGGAGAGCCCCCACAAACACTGGCATGGCTACAGCACAGTGAGGGGGGAGCGCTGGGGGAAGTGTGTGTGTGCAAGCTCGCACGGGAGGTATCCTAACCCCTAGCACCTGTGAATGTGACCTTATTTGGAAATGGGGTCATTTCCCTTGTCATTAAGGATCTCAAGATGAGGTCATTGTCAGTCTAGGGTGGGCACCTACTGACTAGTGTCTTTACAGAAGGAAGGAGGGGGAAGTGTGAGACATGCAGGCACAACGAAAGGCCACGTGGTGGAGTAGAGGCAGAGACTGGGGCCATTCGTCTGCAAACCTAGCAATGCCAAGGACTGCTGACAGTCACCAGAAGCTGGGAGAGGCAAGGAAGGATTCTGGGTTTGCAGGCAGCCGCCAGAACGTAGGGGAGAGGAACAGATTCTTTCTCAGAGCCTCCAGAAGGAACCAACCCTACCAACCTCTTAATTTTGCAGTCCTGGCCTCGAGGAGAACTGTGAAAAAGCACTTCTGTCTTGTTTTAAGCCACCATGTTTGTGGTAATTTGTTATGGCAACTCTACTATAATAGGTGAATAATTTTAGCAAAGAGTAGATGATACAAACAAACAAACCCTCTGGTTGCTGTCCAGGGAGTGAATTATATAGGTTGGAAAAAAAGTGGAAGCAGGAAGACAGAAAAGAGGCTAATGCAGGGGGAAGCTAATGATGGCTTGAGCGAGTGAATGAATGAATGAATGAATACACTAAAAAGGAAGGGGGCACGCGTGCAGGTGACTGTGTTGTTGAGATTGTGAAGGACAGGGGTTGGAGATGGGACACTGCTTCTAGAGCTCCAGATGGGCTTCCTGGGAGCCAGTGGGGAACAGCCAGGTGCAGTGGGTGCCACCAGTGAGGGCCCAGACAGGGCGGGGGCAGGGGAGTGAGTCATCTCCCTCCTCCTCGTGTGCAGCAGGTGCCCAACTCCTGCGAGTGAATGGATGTCACCTACAGCCTCCTTCTCTAAGGGCCCAAATCAAATGCCACTTTGGCCTTGAAGCGCCCCCAACTTCTTGTCCCCACTCTCCATACATAGGTCATTTCTCCTGCCCTTGTGCTCCAGGCCTCCCCAGGAAGGCCCCTGCCCACTGCCACTTCCCACCTCCGTCTGTTCATCTCTGATACCCTGCGGCAGCAGCGGGCCCAGGACCCTGCCCTCAGCAGACCTTTGGGCCACGTTTGCAGACCTCAGTTGCTGAGCAGTGCCAAGCCTCGGTCACGCCGCACACACCCAGAAGCTCGCCAGAACTCTGAGCCAGTGAGAGGCGGGAAAGAGCACGAGACACACTTCCCATTTTTGTCCTTTTGTCCCCTCCGCCTCAGCGACAGCCTGTCTCCATCCAGTCAGCACAAGGCAGGAGCCTGGTGCCTTTGTTTCTGCACACTGAGCTGATTTAGGAAGAAGGGACTGACTGTGAGGAACAGGGTCATGACACGCAAGCCCCGGCACTGCCCTCCCGTGTGGACAAGCCCGGCCACCTACCTCCACGCTGGGGCACGTGCGCCCACCCTGGACCTCGCTGCCGGTCTCCCGCTGGGCATGGCCGGTCCCGGGGCTGCAGCCTGGCTCGGGAACCGCCCCCTCCTCTTCTTTCTCCTTGCCTTTCTCCTCCAGCTTGGGGACATCGTCGCCCTCCACTCCTCCAGGGGAACTCTCGGGGGTCCCCTCCCCCACAGCTCCCTCCTCGGGCTTCTGTGTGTCTTGGCTCTTGTGTGCGGGCCTGGCTTCTGCGTTTTGCTCCCGCTCCTCCTCCACCTCCGTAGCCTTCCCGGTCTGCGTTTCCTCTCCAGCCGGACTTTCCTCCCGGGGGCTCCCGCACCCGTTCTCCGCCTCGGGACCGGAGGTTTGGGGCGGCTCGGGGGCCTGCCCCTGGGCCCCGAGCTTGGCTTCCTCGGCGGCCCCATCCTTCTCCGGCTCCTCTGTCCTGCTGGACGCCCTGCTCAGAGGGGGCTTTTCCGAGGGTTCTGGGCTTCTCCGCGCTGCCTCTCCCGCTGCCCCCTCGCGGGCGGAGGGGGATGCGGGGCCCTTGCTCTTGGCTGGGAACACCTCCTCCCCGTTCTGCTCCGCCGCACCATTCTCCTGGGATGACCCCGAGCCCCGGTACTCCCCCAGGTCCCCGCAGTCCGACTGAGACCTTCGGAACCTCCTGGAGGGGGGGCGCCTTTTGATGGAGCCCCTCGTCCGCACCTGGAAGAAGGGGGAAGGGGAATTACCCAAAACCTATAGCAGGGTGTTAAGAGGCAAGGACCCTCAAAGACCCTCAACTCCCCTATGACTTGTCCTACCCACGGGCCTCGCCCTAGAAAAATTCCTAGGACAAAAACAACACCCCACCCTCCAGCTATAGCTCCAAAATGGATGCGTTCCAAAATGCTCCAGGGTGTGCTAACTGCAATGGTTCCCGACCACCTGCCAGGTTGGGGTCGAGTAATCAGTCACAAACTTCGATACCAATAAGATACTGATTGGGGCTGATTAGCCCAAACCCAAGACTCACCGTCACCCCACTGCATTTTTTGTTTCTACTTCCTTGTTTCTGTATGCTTATAAAACCCACTAAGAATCTAAGTAGACCTTGACGACTCTTTGCTTGGTCTCGTTCCTTTCTCTTGCCCATCTCTTTCAGGCAAGGTCCCCCTTGACCCCCGCGAGTAACAGAAGGTCCCGCGGGCAGGGACAGCAGGGGCCGAGAGGAGGGTGCACGTCCTTTCAGTGTGGGTCTAGAGCCCTGCGTAACAAGCCCGGCTAATTTCCTGGGACAACGTAGCCTTGTTCGTGACTTATCATAGGCTAGAGCCCCGCGGGCTTGCGAAATCACCCTGTAAACCTGCAGACGTTTGTCTTATGAAGATGCAAGTGCTTCTTCGTAACTTATCATTTTACGGCACTATAAACTTTAACCAGTTTGGCATCTAATTTAACAATTGTATTCTAATAGTTTTTAAAAATTGCCTATAAATAACCAGTTCTTTGAATGCTCTTTGAGTGAGATTCACCATCTTCTGGTTTCCTCTGAAGTTAACAAATTGAATAAAATCTCCCTCTGTTTTGTCTAAGAGCCACGTTTTAACATTTTGCAAATTATACTTTGACAGAACTCCAACAGAGAAGAGGGTTGGAGGCCTGCTGGTGGCCAGGTCCCGGGGCGCAGGGACCTCTTGGGTGCTGCACTGGATGGCTGGTGACCAGTTTCTCCCTTGTCTGCACCAGCCCCACCACAACCCCCGCCCCGGCCGCGCTGGCTGACACTGGGGACGCGGAGCAGCCCGAGCACTTTGCTTTCAGGAGTCAGGCACCCACCCGGTCAGAAGCCGATCTTAGGGGTGCCCAGCAGCCGATCTTAGGGGTGCCCAGCAGCTGCCTGAAGAGGACGTCCTCTTTGGAAGCCTGTGAATCTCAGAATCGGGCCTATGGGACTTTGTTAATCCTAGTTCCATCCCAGAGGTTTGGAACATACTGGGTTTATGAAGGCCTCCTGGGCCTTTCCGGAGACCACAGTGGGGCCGGCTCTGCAGGGTACCATGGCCTCATGGCTGGCAGAGTTCAGAAGCGACTTGCTCCCTCGCTGCCTCCAGAAGGCTAAAGCCTTTGGGTGTCATGCCCAGGCAGCGGCTCCTCCCTCCGGCCCCTACTGGCTGCTCGGCTACTGCGAGAAGACCAGGCTCTCCACTTGGCTCCTTCAGGGCCTCCAGCACCCGGGCTGGAGGACCTGCGCCCTGTCCCCAGCCAACAGGCTCAAGCCTGCCCCATCACCTTCTCCCCACCAGTGTATTTTCTGTTTCTGTACCTTTGACCTTTTATGCTGGATGGATTTCCTGGAATGGCATAGAAGATATCACTTCTCCATCCTTAACCCCAAAATTGTCTCCATTTAGCATTCCCTGGCGTCGGACGCCCTTGCATCTTGGCCCCTGCCTGGCTCTGGCCCGCATTTGCTGAGCACCTGCTTGGACTGCATCTCTGATGCTCACCTGCCCCGGTAGGGCCATGGCATGGTGACAGCACACACAAAGGACCGGGGTGGCATCTATAGCAGTGAGCCCTGCCCTACTTATACTTTTCAGAAAGGGAACTGTTTGGGTGTTCTCTGACTGGGGCGAGCTGTGGTAGGAACGGTTTGCGCCCGTCCTGGGCCATGCAGGACTGTTCCCATCAGGCTGCAGCAGGATGTCTTGCAGTCCTGGCGATCTGCCCAGCCTTCTGTGTGAGCCACCAGTCAGGCCTTCAGCTTTTGTTTTCAGCTTTTGACATTGACTATCTGTGCAGCTGGGATCAATCCTGAATCCCCACCCCTCTGAGGAGAGAGCACTCAATCCCCCAGGCCGGCCTTTGGGTGCACGGCACAGTTACAGGGAGAGGAGAGGAGAGGAGAGGAGAGAGCGGGCTAGGTTGAGGGGTGGTCTTAGTTCTGGAATCACTTGCAAAGGAGAGGACAAATCTCACTTCTGTTAAAACCAGCGCCAAAGGTTTCCTCCTTTCTCTAGGGCAAAAACAGTGTAGGGGAAATTCAGGAGTGCCAGGACTCCCCACATTTCCTGACGCACCACGGTGCACGGGAACCAGAATTTACCTTGTTGTAACAGGGCAGGTGGCTACCTTCGGGCGGCTGGTCGAAGCTGACGGGCACCTCCTCTGCCTCGCTGGGCCGCGACCGCACGCCTGGGCTGCTGGGGGTGGAAGGTGGGCTGTGAAACGGCGACACCACGGCCTTGAGTCCAGGACTCTTGGGTGAGGCCCCCGGCAGCAGAGCCGCTGGGTCAAAGGTTAAATTGGCCTGCCGAGAAAGATGAGGAATTTCAAATAGGGGCGGGGAGAAGATGAGAGCTTCTGCTTTTAGCCGGTTGGTTGCCTGGCCTGAGAACTGGCTGAGAACAGGTGACATGAGGTTTTTTGTGTTACTTCCCAGCCAATTATCCATGGCCACATCATGTCCTGCTTCTGGAAGCATTGCCTACTCAATCCACGTCCTGCTGCCTGGCCTGCCACAGGCTGCATTCCAGAATGCTCACACAGCACTGATGCGGATCTAACAAAAATGCCCCAGAACAGCCCCAACTTACAGGCAAAGTAGCCGAAATAGCAACCGCCAGCAGCACCTGCAGCACCAGGGGCTCACGGGAAGTCAGCCTTTGTGATCACCTTTCTCATCAGAGTCAATGGTGTTACGCGGATGCACATGCTTAATATGTGCCTGTCACACGCAGCTGTCTCCATGACAACTGACGTGTTCGGTTTTGTTCTTGTCGCACACACTGGGCAAGTGGCTAAGGGATCTGCCGTGAGACTCTCGCCGGGTCTGCTTGTCCCTCAAGCCTCCAGGTACCAGGTTCCCTCCTGCTAGACGGCAGAGTGGTGGACACAGCAGGCGGTCGACCACTTCCTGGAGGGAGGCGGTGGGATAAACCACAGCGTGTGCCACACGTGGGGCATCACAGCGCAGGTGAGAACAGACCGAAACAAGCCCCGAGGGCAACCAAACGGGAGAGTAACCCAAAGGTAAAGCCTGCTGGAGTCTTGAGTCTCGTGGCTGGTGGCCCAGATCCACCCCTATTGTCATGGAGAAGGTGGCGGTGCCTCAAGCTGTCCACAGAGGGCCTGTGTGTGAGTGACCGGCATCTTCTTTAGGGCCATCTAGGGGCACTCCTCCTCCTCCTGCCCTCTGCATTTCCAAATCACCACCTGGCTGCTGGCCCTGTGGTGGACCAGGAGAGACAGCAGTGCGGCCTCACGGAGAAGGGACGGTGGGAGGTACATGGGTTCTCCACGCCCACAGACCTGGCTCCACATGTAGGATCTTTCGCTTAATAGCTGTGTGACCTTCAGACCTTCAGCAAGGCCAATAGCCTTTCTGAGTTTCGGATTCTCTATTTATCCAAAGTTCTTAGCCTGGCCTTCAGAGTCTTTCCCACCCAGTCCCTGTTTACTCTCTCCTGCCACACGCAGGCTCTCTGCCTCGACTGCCCTCGGCTCGCCCTCCCGCCAGCCGCCCCGCCGCCCCGGAGAACGCCTGTGTGTACTTCAGGACTTGCAGCTGGGAAGCACTGTGCGTGTTTAGGAAGGTGTCTGCATTTTCATTGTGATGTTTTTTTTTTTTGTTTTTTTTTGAGACAGAGTCTCACTCTGTTGCCCGGGCTAGAGTGAGTGCCATGGCATCAGCCTAGCTCACAGCAACCTCAAACTCCTGGGCTCAAGCGATCCTCCTGCCTCAGCCTCCCAAGTAGCTGGGACCACAGGCATGCACCACCATGCCTGGCTAATTTTTTCTATATATATTAGTTGGCCAATTAATTTCTTTCTATTTATAGTAGAGACGGGGGTCTTGCTCTTGCTTAGGCTGGTTTCGAACTCCTGACCTCGAGCAATCCTCCCGCCTCGGCCTCCCTGAGTGCTAGGATTACAGGCGTGAGCCACCGTGCCCGGCCTCATTGTGATCTTAACAAAGAAAGTATAAGACAGATAAGACTGAGTCATGGCAAGAATTAAATATATAATATACGAAAGTTGAAGAGCGATGCTGGGAGCCTGAGCCACGTCAAAAAGCAGCACTCGGGGAGAGCCCGGGGAAGGATCTGGAACACAGATGCAGCAGGGGTCGATGTGCTGGGCGGGCTCAGGGGCTGGATGGCAGAGGGGCCTTAACTGGGCATTGAAGGAGCTCCCCGCCTCTAAATTTCAACCCAGGAAGATCCCACCGGAAGAATGCTTGCAAATAAAATGGATCTTGTCAGTCAGCAGAATGTTTGAACTTTGGATTTTGTGTTATTCCAGTGAATAAAAATCATAGTTCATAACTCATTCAACAGAATGGTTAGAAGAAAAGTCTAGTTGCTGATGTATTTCTTAGCTCTTTCCCCCACACATTCCTAACTAAATGAGGTTCCTGTGGGCTTTGGCTAAACTGTCATACTATTGCTGACATTCTTAATGAGATTAAATAATTAGACATACAGACCTCATTCTGAAGTTGTTGTGTGTTTCCCAAAAAGGCTCAATAATGACTAGAAGAGGGAATGAGACCAAAACTACAGGGTACAGAACATGCGAGAACTGATTTCTGGCCCCTGAATGAGGGCTATGGTGGGCTGCAGAGAGGCAGAGGTTGGGGCTCTGGGCTGCACCCCTCAGCTAGGAGGGACACTGAAGCTCTGGGATCCCCTCCGAAAGCTCCCTGCTATGTCTAGGGGAGCCCTGAAGCCTCCTAGGGCGACAGGCGGCACCACCCCCTCCCTGCAGCTGGGACAGAAGCAGAGATTCGTAGTAAGAATTAAATTTCAGGGAGACACTGCAGAGTCCTCCCCACCCTCCACAGGGTAGGCTCAAGGCCAGAGGCCAGAGATGCTTGCTGTAACCCCAAATCAGGCTGGGATCCCCATCCCATGGCTGGGAACTGCAGAGGCTGTGGCTATGTGTCTTGACACCCCCTGATGGCTTCAGCATGACGCTGGCGAGCCAGTGCTGTGAGCTGGGTCTGAAGGGGAGGACACAGCGCAGGAAAGCCTTGCTCCTTCTCCTGGTGGCTGCATAGAGGCCGTGGTGAAAGCCGGGGCCCCCCTACAGGCCCACCAGGATGTAACATGCCCCCCCCTTTGTGCTTTAGCTCATGCTGTTCCCACACCAGGAGCACCTTCCTCCCCCCTTTCCAGCCACCTGGGCTTTAAGGACCAGCTTACGGGCACAGGCGTTTCATAGAGCACTCAACAATTACGCCTGCCCGCTCTGCTCTCTTCTCGCTCTGAAATTCTAGAACACTGTTCTCACCTGGGGTGGGGCCAGGGGCTGATTTTGTCCCTAGGGGACATTTGGCAATGTCTGAAGACATTTTTCACTGTCACAACTGTGTTGGACAGTGCTACTGGCATCTAGTGGGTAAGACCAGGGATGCTGCTGAACATCCTGAAATGCAAAAGGGCCCCTGCGACAAAACTGTCCAGCTCAGATAACGCCAAGGCTGGGAAACCCTGTCTTGAGCAGCGGCAGCTGGGCAGTGGCACGCGACTGAGCTCTCTGGTATGGACTGCCATACGCCTTTTCTTGCACCAGGTGTGAAAGCTTTGTCTCCACAGCAAGACGGTGAGCTTGGGGGCAGCGTCTTCTGCTTTGTTCCCACTCCCGGGGAGCCGGCCCGGGTGTGGAGGGCAAAGGCTCTGGACACGCAGGGTGCTGGCGGAGAGGCCGGGCAGAATGCTTCCCAAACAATGGATTTGGCCACAGCATAGCAGCTGAACTTCAGCCATGGGTAAGGCTGAAATGGCCTGTGGCTGCATTCAGGCCTTGGGGGAGAGGGTTGGGCTACTTCTGGAGTGTTTCTTGCAACTATAATGTCCTTTTCCAAAAGAATCTTGAGTCTCCCCATTATCCACCAGTCACCAACCATTAGGCGTTGACTGCATCAGCTTATGCTTGATACGGTCTTTATGTTAGCCCTTTTCCCAGGTGAGGGCTGTGATAGCCTCATCCTTTAGGGAAATTTGGTCGCTAGCTGGTTATCAGGGGCCAACTATCCAGGTGACACTTGGGCTCCCCCTAGGAGCCCCGAAGACATGAACATTTTGAATAAGAAGTGGAGTTGGATAAAAGGTAGCAATGGGGGCGGGCGCGGTGGCTCACGCCTGTAATCCTAGCACTCTGGGAGGCCGAGGCGGGTGGATTGCTCAAGTCAGGAGTTCGAAACCAGCCTGAGCAAGAGTGAGACCCCGTCTCTAGTATAAATTGAAAGAAATTAATTGGCCAACTAATATATATAGAAAAAAAAAATTAGCCGGGCATGGTGGCGCATGCCTGTAGTCCCAGCTACTTGGGAGGCTGAGGCAGGAGGACTGCTTGAGCCCAAGAGTTTGAGGTTGCTGTGAGCTGGGCTGACGCCACGGCACTCGCTCTAGCTTGGGCAACAAAGCGAGACTCAGTCTCAAAACAAAACAAAACAAACTACTTATCTTCATTCTACACATAGGAAAGTGGTAAAAGGTAGCAATGGGTGATGCATTCTGCACTTACCTGAAGCTTCTCAATCAGAGGCGAGCTCTTCACCTTGATTTTAGGAGTGTGGCTGGCATTGGGTGGTGATTTCTGCAGAGCAAATGAACCAAAACCACCAAGTAAGTGAGGTGAAGGGCAGCGGAGTTCTGGCTGGAGCCCAAAAGTCACAGGTGGAAGGAGAAGAGAAGTTGGTGTCACCCCTTAATCACTTAGTTCCAGCAAGTTCCACCCAGCTCATCAGGGCCTGGGAGAGGCGGGCTCCCCTCCCTCCCACCTCGTCTCACCATAGCAAGACCACTTGCATGTATGCATCAGAGAAGCCAGGACAGACGTCCCTGACACGGAAGGCCCCCTCTCCCAGGAAGATGACCCCGTTGTCATGACAAGGGAAAGCTGTGAGGGGAGTACTGTGAGGGGAGTACGAGTCTCATGACCTTCAACAGCGTGAATCAACAATTGGAGGGAATTTCAAAGAAAAGCACAAAAATTACCCTCCTGTTTCTCACAAAGAGAACAAGAAGCCACAGACCAGGAGTGAAACCTGACAGAGGTATTATCGAAATTCCTCCCTTGAACTAATGATAGTTTGGAAAATCCCACCAATGGCATCATTTATAAATTACCATTTTCCAAAACATTGAATATTCATTTTAATTAAGCAGACATTTACTATCGACTACATTGCAGGCATTGTGTTGGTCACATAAAGACCAATATCAGTCTCTGCCCTCTCGGAGCAGTTGGTCAGCGGCTGATCTGTGTGCTACCTAATCATGTGTGTGCTCAGTTGTAGATATTTTTGTGATGAATGAAAGTCAGGAGTCTTGTCTTCCTTGGGATTCTATGCTATCTAAAGATTGACTCCTTGCTTTGTGGAAAATCTCCATAACTATGTGGAAATGATGATGGTGATGTGATGATGAAGAAGAAAAAGAGGAAGATGCCACCCACCTTGGTGGGCAGACTGTGAGGCAGAGCAGGGCTTTTCCTATGGTGTGGGGACCAGCATGTACCCCGGCACCCGGGCCCCACGTACTAATTTACCTGGATCATATGAAGAAGAATGACACTGGGCTCAGAAAGATTCTGAGATATTTGTTGAGTGAGATGTTGTATTTTAGTGATGGAAGGAAGGAGACTCACTCAGCTGAACTGCTTGTGACCTTTCCAAGGCCCAGCAGCAAGGGACAACATGGGCTGGGACTCAGGAGACCCCCTCTGCCTTCTAATTCAGCTTTGGCAAGAGCCAGATGGATGCTGTGACTTCAGTCTCCTCTACCAAGATACACAAGTGAGCTGGAACAAATGATTCTAGGGACTCTTGCAGCCTGCATGAGTTAACACTGTCAGAGGTGCTCCTAGAACAATCTTTAAGGAGCCTTTTGTCTATGGTGAGTACAAAGAGCATTCAGCCCCAGTTGGGTTGTCCCTAGTTTCTATACCTTACAGTGACATTTCACAGGGGCTGGGGTTTTTGAAGACACTGTTTTAGAAACTGCAGCAAAAATTTTGCTGGTAAAATTTCACTTTATGTAACACTATAAACTCTTCCCTTCCCCAACTGATCACTGTCTTTTGAAGACAGCGGAAATTCAATAGACACTGCCCCTTAACCACAGGAGGATATTGGGGACCCAGCAGGTGTTCAACAAACCCCTTATGGATTTGAACCATAAAGCAGAAAGAATGCAAAATAGCCACTGATGCAGTTCCTGGGTCTGGCAGCAGGTGGCAGCATTTCCTCTATGGTTTAACAAGAGGCTGGGACTAACACAGTCGGTAGAAAAAAATCAGCCTTATATCCCTGTATCTGTATGTATGTATGTAATTGTGCACCCCATGGGATGAAACCTGTAAATTTATTTCCACAGGGCCATTGAAATAAAGCTGTTTAATCCATTCGCCACTAACCTGACCCACTCTGCTTTTATTCCAGGGACTAAAACTTCCCCATCTAGCCTCCACGATCTGCCCCGTTAGTGTTTTTGTCCACATTGCAAATTTGGTATGGTGCAGTGACTTCTCCTGGGCCCAGCCCGGATGATCAGGGGGCAGCCTCACAGTAAGCTCCGAATGGCCACGGCTTCAGCCTGTTGCAAAGCAGCAGAGACACCGAGCCCAGAGGGTAAGGGTTACAAGGAGAAGTTGATCCTCTGGAACGAGAAGTTGTTGGTTTGTATTTGCTCACAGAACTGGCTGATAACCCCATGAAGCCACAGAATCATATTATTAGCACTTGAAGCGATCCAACAAAAACCTCAGTGTTTTAGCTCTGTATTCCTTGGGGTTCTTATCCCAGAATAAGACCCTCATTTGGTGGAGGGAGGGGGTATTCTAGCAGCAGATGGGGCTCCAGACTGCCCCTTCCCCATCTCACGTGACCAGCGGCAGCTCTGAGCTTCTGCTTTATCTCATGGGCTTCTGCTCATAAGCCGTGGGTTGACAAAAGGATCTGAAAACCATTGATCTACTTCAACCGTTTCACTTTATAGATGAGAAAACATAGGCACCGAGAGGTCTGCCCGAGTTGACACAGGCACCCAGTGTCTGTTGTCAAGATGCCGACCCTCAAAGAAGAGGGGAGAAAAAAAAAAGAGGTGGTCGAAGTGGGATTGGGGAACTGCCTTGTCCTTGGCTGGCTTGCTGGGTTTGGGGGTTGGCCTCCCAGGCTGGCGACAGAACATGCAAATTCACTTCTGGCACAAATCACGGCCACAGTGAGGGCTCCTGGGCTGCTGGGACAGGGTGTGGAGAAGTCGCTCTCACAGCTACCATGCGATAACTAAGGATAGGTAAGCGTGCAGGCTGGGAACCTGCTGGTGGCTGTGATGCATGACACCAGAGCCTGGATTATGTCGGTAACGTTGGCTATTTATATCCGAGGGCAGCGAGGCCTCCCGTGTGCTCTGGTTTTCCTCCAGTGGTCCGGCTGGCTGCCAGCCTTCCCCAGGGCACCTCGGCACCGGGGGTGCTCTCGTGTTACAATTCTGCCTTCGGTGAGTGTAGCCCCTTTTCCAGGTGCCTTCTCCACACCTTGTTCCAAGATCATCCAGTGTTATGGGAATAAACCATGGCTGTCCTGACTCCTGAATCCGGTCTATTACTAACATATATGGCCCATTTTCTCTGTTCAAATTCTCAGGCTTGAAAACTGGCATTCCTGTCTGCCACAAATCATAAAGGAGGCTCAGGAAGAGAGACTAGGGAGGAGCCTAGTTTCCAAAGCAAAGGATTGAGGAAGCATTTAAGAAGAGGAGATTCATCCTCCAATCTGAAATGGAGAAATCCCCTGTACAGATTTTTGAGGTGGAAAAGTGTGAGTTTGGGGCCCCTTCCTACAAAAAGGAGAAAGGAAACCCATAACCAGCGTCCTCTGAGCCCCGGCAATGACCACACTTACCTCCTCACCATTCTGGCCCAGCTCTACCTTAGGGGGGAACAGGGGGAGGGAACAGGGCGGTTTCCTTCTTGTTGGTTTACTGGCTGGTGTCTAGAGGGGGCGACAGACAGACACACAGAGAGAAACAGAGAAAGAGCTAATCAGGCAACAGGGAGGAAGAGGAAGGAAATGGCAGCTGGATTTAGGAATGTTGAGGGATGTTGAGGGAAGATTAGGAATGTTTAAGAATGGAGGGAAAGGATTGCGTGCCTTTGGAACTGCCCACTTACTATTTAAATTATTTAACAGCTCTATCTAACGATCTGTCCATTTTCACTTTCAGCCTCTCCTCTCCTATTCCTTTCCTGCTAGGACATCCTCTTTCACTTGAGAGTCATTGGGCTGATCCGACATCTCAAAGTGACATCAACATGCAGCTTTTAGGCAACGCCAGCACCTTAGCTCAATACTGCCATCTTTATTCTTTATGACGTTCCTATCTATAATGGCTAGAAATTATGGACCCGATTTTTCAGATAAGAAAACAAAAGTGCAAAATAGTGCACCTAACAAACAAGGCAACTACAGTAAGTTCTCACTTGCCCCAGGGGCCATGATAGACCTCCCTCCACCCTGGGGAACCCGTCCCTCCTCTCACCTCTATGGGCTCCTCACACTGGAGGACTCCAGAGAATCTAGCCCAAGTCTCTGCAAAGTTAAGACAACCCTTTTACACTTTCCCCCATTGGTCCCTGGATCCCTGGTTTTCCATCTGAACGAACTTCCCTTCACGTCCTCCCTTCCTTCTCAACTGGGAATCCGGCCCAGCCTTGCCTCGCTCCTGATTCCAGGCTACAGGGCAGGAGCTGGGTGTGCAGACCCCTTTAATCTGCCATCCAGGCCTGGCACAGCCGTGCAAGATCTAAGATCTGTATTGGTAGGGGATCAAGATGGAAATGAATCCGGACTCCCACGTCTGACGGGCAGGCCCTTCAGCTCTCTGCCCACCCCTCCTTGGCAGAGGGAAAGCCTCACTCTGCTGGGGCAGGATTCTACACAGGCAGGGAGGCAGTGGGACATTCCTCACATTCAAAGGGACCCCTCTCTGGCTCCTCTTCCTAATTTGGTAATTACCAAGCCTTCTCCCTCCCCCTCCTCTGGGCCTGACCCAGACTGGCTGCCTGCAGCCCCTCCCAGCAGCGGATGCTCGGAAGCCTCCCAGCTCACCTCCTTGGCGGCAGCTGCCTGCTCCCGAAACCGCCCGGCCAGCTGCGCCACCGAAGGGGACGCCGAGTTGTCCACGTTGGCGTTGGGCTCTGCCAGCCTTTCCTGGCAAATCAAGGAGGAGAAACAGTTACTCAGCAAACGTGCACTCGGCTCTTCTTCGGTCAGGGAGCAGGTGCCACGCAAGGCACTTGCTTTGTGGCCACGGGCAGGAATGCTGGGACAAGGAGGAGCCTGCATGCAAAGCTTTTTAAAAACCGTCCCGTCAAACTCATTTAGTGAAATCGATGATGTGCTCAGCCCTGGGTGTAGCTCTGGGGACCTAGAGACAAGGAAAACTTGCTCCTGTCCCGGAGGGGTCCCTGGGGGTCCTGCGGGCAGCACAGGCCTGGGTTTCTCATTCCTCAGAGACCCTACAGGAAGAGGGCTGTATTGGTGACAGACAGCGTATGAGTCTCCTTCCCCTGCTCCTTTGAAAAATGGGGGCAGGCAAAATGCATTTGGAGGAGAGGCCTATAAGTGCAGGAACTGGGCAAGCAGGTGCCCTTTATTGAATGTTTTTCTTTTTCTTTTTTGAGAATGAGTCTCACTCTATTGCCCGGGGTAGAGTGCCGTGGCGTCAGCCTAGCTCACAGCAACCTCAAACTCCCAGGCTCAAGTGACCCTTCTGCCTCAGCCTCCCAAGTAGCTGACTACCGGCATGCGCCACCATGCCTGGCTAACTTTTTTCCATATATTTTTAGTTGTCTGGCTAATTTCTTTCTATTTTTTTCAGTAGAGATGGGGTCTTGCTCTTGCTCAGGCTGGTTTCGAACTCCTGACCTTGAGCCATCCTCCCACCTTGGCCTCCCAGAGTGCTAGGATTACAGGTGTGAGCCACCACACCCAGCCCCTTATTGAACTTTTAACACATATATGTGTCCTGTCTTCCCTACTTAACTGAGAGCCTTGGGCAAAGAAGTGTTGAGTAACTATTTGTGAATTAACAAATACATGACATGAGAGCAGGTAGTCTAACGGGTGGGAGCCAGACCGCCTGGGTTCAACCACTGACTTGCTCCAATTCTTCCCAGCTTGGGGACCTGGGGCAAACGGCTTTCGGTGCCTTGACAGGGATCATAGCAGCACATCACTTATGGGGTCCTCAAACTACGGCACGCAGGCCACATGCAGCCCACCGAGGACATTTATCCAGCCTGCTGGGTGTTTTTCCACCGCTGCCTGTCCTGCTTAGCAGCCGACTAGTCCCGGGCCCACAGTGCGCATGTGTGGAATGTGCGCCGCACTCTCCAACGGCCTCCAACGGTCTGAGGGACAGTGAACTGGCCCCCTGTTTAAGAAGTTTGAGGACCCCTGCAAGCGATCTCTAACACTGTATATACCCAAAGTGCGGGGCAAGGCCTGGCACACTGCAAGGGCTTTAGAAGGGGGTCGTGACGGTCACTGGCAATGGGTCTTGCCGCGGTTCAGGTCATCAGTTTACTGCCCCTCCCACAAGGTGCCTGCAGGGTCCCTGAAGAGGCCAAGACACATCCCCAGGACTCGGTTCACCCCAGTGCGTCCTTTGTCACCAAGACACGAGGGCGGGTCAGCGACACTGGAAACGGCCCCTCCCTTCTGCCTTGTTACTCAGGGGATACATAACCGCTTGGTTTTAACAATTTTTTTTTTTTTTTTTTACATCTTCGGAGACATTAGGCTTTTGTCTTTTGTCACCATAATGGCAGCATTTCTTACTTGGGCTGAGAACTACTTCTACCGCTTCCCCTCCTCACGTCTAGCCTGAAACTGGGGGGGATTTGGGCAGCAGTTTGTCTGAGAAGGTCCCTCTCTGCCTTTCCGTGGGTCTCGAGACAGGGCACGCTCCCCTCCAGCAGCAAGCTCGCACCGCTGCGCAACACGCACGCGCGCGCACACGCACACACAACTCCACACCCTTCTCTTTGCGCCGACAGTGTCTCCGAGCCTTCTCACTTGGGTGCTCCCTGCACAGCCAATGCCACCGGTCGTTCGAGGATGCCGTCCCCTTGGAGCAAGGCAGGCGCAGAGCCCCCCACCCCACCCCCTCCTGCCAGGTTCCGGCAGTGAAGTTAAGTAAATGGGGCAGAGCTGCGGAGAAGGCTTTATTTAGAGATGTGAGAGGACCGCTGGGGCCGAGAACCTTCTGATCTGCGAAGGGCTGTTCTGGAGGAAAAGACAGTTACCTCCTTCCTGCGGCCGACTGTAATGCAAGCTCGTCTCCATTCCAGCCTAAACGCCAAATGCTGGTTTTGCATAAAGACATAAAAGGATTCAGCCTCTATTCGAGATGCCAGATTTCCCCACAGTGCTGGGGGACAGCCAGGGGGCCCGGCGCCCCACCCTGACTACCGCCCCCTGGGCAGGGCTCCCGGGACTTGCACCTGTTTAACCCTCCCACTTGCCACCTCAGGAGAGGCCCTTGTCCCTTTGGAGCAACAGAGGGGCTTTAGGGTCAGCGCGTGGTTAATTGAGCCGTTGCTGGCAAAGGCGTGGGCCGATCGGTCTGTCCATCTGTCCAACTTCCCGCCCACGTGGCAGATCCGTCTCTCCGTCTGCTGCTATTTATTGCCCGGGTCCCGCTGACAGTGCACTTTACCTCGGATTCAAGGCGCCCATCACTGGGGGTGCAGGAAGATCTATTCCAGTTAAAAATAGAGCTGTATAGGAACGAAAAACTCCTCCCTAACTTCCCTGTCTCAAAACTGGGCTTGGCAAGGGGCTCAGAAGCGAGAGAGACGTGAGGCGTATGGAAGCATTTAGGGCTCAAAAGCCAGGTTGGTTACACCACGTCCTGGTGTGTTTTCTGGAGCCCGGAGCATGGGTTCCCTTTGTCTCGGGACTCCGGAGCCGTTCAAGCCCGGCACATCCACCCGCCACAGCCTCGGCCCAGACGTTTCCCGCCCTGTGTTGTGGAAGACTGATTGCTTATTGCTTTCTCCCCACCGGGCACGTGGAGGCCCAGAGAGAGCAAGTAACTTAGCCAGAGTCACACAGGGGAAGCCAAACAGGATGGGCTATGAAACACTGGACTCCAACTCCTCATAATCCTCAGTGGACACCAGTTAAGCAGCGCCATTTGTGAACGTGTTTGAAAACCGTGAAAGCGCTACACAAATCTCAACATTACGAGCCACTGGGTTGCGCAGGTGCAACGGCAGAAGCATGGTCTTGGGGATGGCGGCCCAGCCCGTCCGAGGCTTTGCCTGGATTCCGCCCCGCAATTCTGGCAGGTGCAACCACTAACCTCCTCCAGCGGGTTCAATCCACACCACCTCCGCCCTGGGCCAGAGCCTTCTCTCAGCCCAAAGGCCACCTCGGCACCGGCACGCTGTCACCTCGACTGCATGCTTAGCTCTGAGGAGGACTTCAGCGTGCCTGCCTGCTCCCAGACCTCCCTGGGATCCCTCAGCCTCCCCAGATGAAATGTTCTTTCTTTGTTCCAGCGATGTCCACAAGTACCTTCCCAACACAGCCTGGAACGTGCACTGTGCTCATCTAAGGCTGGCTGTCCCTCCGCCCACTCAATCCGGCCTGCTGCTGTCAGGGCCTGGGCACCCACTCCCAGAGTCAGTGCCACCCCACTCACCCCTGAGGTCCACACCCCGTTGTGGGTCCCTCCCCTACCAGCATCCACTCTCTGCGTCGTGGGCACTGCCTTGACTTCCGCTTGCTTTTCCCTCTTGGGCCGTTCTGCACATCTTAAATCTGTTTTCTGGCCTCGTCTCCCTTCGTGTGCTGCTTTCGTGCACACTTGTCTTCACACATTGCAGGCCTCTACTCCGTCCTCGAGGGCCCAGGTCTTGCCCAGCAAGCCCGTCCTGCCGCCTCTCCAGCTGTGCCAGCTAGCTCGGAAACCATGCCCGCAGTTACCGTCTGACTTTGCCAGGGCCAGGGGAAAACCACCTCTGGTGTTTATTTTCCATTTCTATGGGACTTTCTTCTGAGAACTGAGGAGCCCCTGTGTCTGCATGGCATGGAACTTCCCCGCCCTCTTGCCATGTTGGGTAAATACAGTTTGGACGCTACTGGCCGTCCGCATAATGAAAGCTTTGTGCACAGGCCAGAGCTAGGCTCTGCCTGCCTCCCTGGCTCGGCCCTGCTTCTCCACCTCACCCTTGGCCCAGTGTCTAAGTGTCCAGCGGTCTCTGGGCCATGGTTTAGGGAAGCAAGGCACCAGGGAGGCCTGATCCTCTACAGCTCAAAGGGAGAGGCAGCAACGCGAGGGCCTGGCTGCAGAGCTGAGGACGCCTTGACCTTGGCTAAAAGGAAGGTTTCCTTGCTCACCAGAAACCAGCCACAGCCTCAAGGCGTGCCAGCTTCCCCAGTCCTCCGGCACTGAAGGGGGTCTTAGGGTGGCACGCGGGGTGCTCACCTCTGCCACTGTGACCACACTTACATTATCACCTCAAAAGGACAACACAGAGCCTCTCTCGATGCTGCAATGACTCCAGAATCTTCCTTCACACCCTCACCTTACCCTAGTTTGTCAATCCATCCCAATGTTTGACCGATGCCATCCTAGGACGACAGAAAGGGCACTGGAGTGGGAACCAGGTAGGTCCACTCGGCCTACCCACCTACCTACCCACCTACCTACCCAGGTACTTCCTGTGTGGCCAGCACTGTCCTCAGAGCAGCTGGCATGTTTCGGTCATTCTTACCTCTTCTAAAAGAGGAAGCTGGGGCCCAGGGTTGCTAAGTAACTTGCTACTCCGGTTAGCAAGTGTGAGCATGAGAATTTTCTGGATTCCAAAGCTCTGGCTCTTTCCATACCAACATGCTATACTCACTCTACACCTTTAGAAGGGCTATCTCGTTCAGTCTCCCATCAATACACACTTACTTCTCCAGGCCCTGGGGCCCAGCAGCGAACGAGATAGAGTTCTTGCTCTTTAGGGGCTGCAATCCCAGCAATAAGCACACGCACAGCAAAACACCTGAGATCATTTGTAAGTGCTATGGGAAAAATAAAATAGGGCACTTTCTCTATGAGGGTGTGGGAGGACATCTCTGAAGAGGGATCATCTGAATTGAATCCAAGTTGGGGAAAAGAGAGGAGGAAAATCGTTCTGAGCAGAAGCACAGACAGGAACAAAGGTTGAGGGGCAGAGAAAAGAGAAGTGTGGCAGGGACATGCTGTGCACAAAAGGGGACAGGGGACACATGCGGTGGCCCGGGCCAGCCCTGTGGGGCCCCGTGGACCAGGACCGTTTGTGCTGTATTCCGAGCGAGTGGGACGCCACTGGAGGGCTTCAAGGAGGGATGTGACCTGAATCCCACAGCAAGCGGCTGCCTGTGGAGGATGCTGGGGCGTAAGCAGAGAGGGCAGGAGGCAGGTGCTGGCAGTGGTCACCTGAGAAGTGGTGCTGGTGCACCAGGCCCGCAGCAGGTGGGTGGGGGGGGGAGGCAGGATGCTAGAAACCGGGATGCACTGGCGTGGGGAGTGAGGGGAAGGGGGTTGAGGATGACTCCTCCGTGTTTCTCTTGGGTAGTGGGATGCATGGAATGTTTTCTCCTGCACCTGGGAAGGCTTGTGGGGAGAGAGACGTGGGTGGGCCTAGCTGGGGAAAGAGTAGTCCTTTCTTGGACATAAAAGTTTGAAATGTCTGTTAGACATCCAAGTGCAGTGCAGCACAGGAAGCTGAAAATACACCCAAGTCTGGAGTCCAGAGGTGGGGTTCAGGCTGGAAAGGAAACTGTGAGAGTCACAAGTTAGAGGTGGTAGGTAGAGTCACAGGGCTGCATAAAATCAGAGGCAATGCAAAAGAGGGAAAAGAATGGGGTCCAAAGACTGGACTCTGAGTTGTCTCTTTGTTCACGCTGCGCTGCCTTTCATTGGCAAAGGGAGGGGACGGGTCCTGTTTATTCCGGCGGGAGCCGCAAAGACATTTTGGTGCAGATTGCAGATGGGATGGGTTGGGGCCAGAGATTTCTTTGGCTAAAGTGATAGAGGGTAAGAGACCCTGAATGTCGCACATGAGTGTTGTGTCCCCTATCCATGCTGCCGGGTCTTTCATCCTTTCCTGAGCATCTGTGGACACTGAGGAGTGACCCGGGTGACAGAGATGGCCCTCAAGGAGCAAACAGCCTTGTTGAGGGGAGGGAGGAAGGTAGAAGAGGCAAAGAAGAACAACAACAAGAAACAAATAAGGCAGAAACATAGAAACGGGTAGAGGTGGATGAATACATGTGATCAAATATTTCGCACGAGACCAAAACAGCGCCAGACATCCCCTGCCTGCCCACTTGTAGGCTCTAAGGATCTGAAGTGGCAGCGCCTCGCCCCTGCAGCTCTCCCCCTGGGAGAACACCACGTGAGTGCTGTGCTCACTCAAAGCACCCACAGGCACGACCCCAGGAGCGTGTCCCTGTGTGGGATTCCAGGGCTTCCCATTTCTCTCTAGGAACTGGTGTTGCAGTCCCGTGGCCTGGACAGGATTCAGCAGTCCTCTCACACAGCGGGACCCAGTCCTGACTGCTTCAGGGGTTGTAAACTCAGCACAGTCCACAGCCACAGGTGCCTGGGAGCGTCCTCCAGGTGGGGGCCGGTAGGTTTAGTGGCGATGGCACGGTTAGTGTCCGGGCCAATTGCCAGGTAACGGCAGGGGACAGTAGATACAGGGAGGGCGATGCTCATTCTGAATGTCACTGTAGTGACAGGGCTTTATCAATGTAATCTGGCGGATGATGTGTGGGAAGTTTCTCTTTAAAACCTGTCAACTGTACAAGCATAAGGAAAGAAATCATTTTGAGTCTGGTGGGGCGGGGATGCGTAGAGACAATATAAATCAGAGAAGCAAACTCAGAGTCAGACCTGGGTTTCAGTCCTGCCTCTGGCATATAATGGGTGTGAACCTCTCTGAGTCTCAGTTTACTCATTTGCATACGAGGTTATTGACATCCATGACATCCACTAGCTTTCGCTCCATCCCAATGTGCAGGTGCGTGCCCTGCTTTCTGGCAGCTGCACCACCCTTCTTCCACGGCCAGCAGGAGGTAGGCCAATAGACCCAGAGTCCCCATCAGATTCAGAGTTAGCCTTGTCCTCCCAGGCAGGGTGCACTGGCAGTTTTATAGTGCTCTGCGTAGGGAGTAGCACAGAGCTCAGGCTCTGAGCCAGACTGCCTGGGTTCAAATCCTGGCTCTGCATTTACTAGTTCTGCAGCCTTGGACAAACTACCTACCTTCTCTGTGCCTCAGATTGCCTATCTGTAAAATGGGGATGATGATGATAACACCTATGTTATAAAGTCATTAGAAGGATTTAATCCATTTATGCATGTGAAATGCTTAGCACAGGGCCTGGCATGTAGGAAGTGCTTGATAATTTTTTGCTTAAGAATGGACATCTTGACTCCGCCACTTTGGTGGGCTATTTTATTACCGAGGCAGGAGCTTAACAGACACTCTCACCCATCCCTGAACTCATATCATCCCTGAGAAACTGATGTGCGTGGTATCTAGCAACTAAAAAATAAATAAAGCTAAGTTTAATTTCATGGCTTTTAGCGTCATGACATGACATAGGTCTTGAATAACCCACATATCCCAGCTGTCCAAAGCTCTGTGTCAAATCAAACAGCTGAATCAAAATATCAAGCCCATGTCCATTGAATGAATAGAGAAACAAAGTTCGATATAGCCATACAATGAAATATTTTCAAGCTATGAAAAGGACTGAAGCTCTCATATATACTAAATGTGATGAACCTAGAAAACATTATCCTAAGTGAAAGAAGCCAGTTCACAAAAGACCATATATTGTATGATTCCATTGATATGAAATGCCCACAATAGGCAAATCTATAGAAACAGAAAGTAGATTAATAGTTGCCTGGAGGAGATGAGAAGACAGGAGGTGGATTGACAGTTAAAGGGTACAGAGTTCCTATTTGGGGGGATGATGAAAATGTTCTAGACACATACACACAGACACCCCTCCCTCCACCTCTTTCCTCAGTAAGAAAGAAAGAAGAAAGAAAGAAAGAAAGAAAGAAAGAAAGAAAGAAAGAAAGAAAGAAAGAAAAGAAAGAAAATGTCCCAAAATTTATTGTGATGATAGTTGCACATGTCTGTGAATATACTAAAGCCCATTTCATTGTACACTTTAAATAGGTGACCTGTATGGTTTGTAAATTATATCTCAATAAAACTGTTATTTAAAAAACTGTCCTGTTTCAGTCTTCTGCATGTGGCTATCCAGTTTTCCCAGCACCATTTATTGAATAAGGATTCTTTTCCCCAGTGTATGTTTTTGTCTGCTTGTCAAAGGATTAGTTGGCTATAGTGAGGATGTTTTATATCTGGGTTCTCTGTTCTGTTCCACTGGTCAATGTCCCTGTTCTTGTGCCAGTTACAAGGCCGTTCTGATTACTATAGCCTTGTAGTATAGTTTGAAATCTGGTAAATTGATACCTCCTATTTTGTTTTTATTGCCTAGGATTGATTCTGCTATACGGGGTCTTCTCTGGTTCCATACGAAGTGTAAAGTTATTTTTTCTATATCTGTGAAAAATGATGATGATATTTTAATAGGGATTGCATGACTCTGTAGGTCACTTTGGGTATAGACATTTTAACAATGTTGATTCTGCTGCCCATGAGCATTGTATGTTCTCCACCTGTTTACCTCTGCTACTTCTTTCTTCAGTTTTCATAGTTCTCCCCTAGAGGTCTTTACCTCTTAGTTAAATATATTCTAGGTACTTTATTTTCTTGTTGCTATTTTGAAGGAATTTAGTCTTGATTTGGTTCTCACTTGTACTGTTGTGGGTATATTAATGCCTCTGATTTCTGTGTATTGATTTGTATCCTGAGACTTTCAATTCATTTATCAGATCAAGGAGTCTCTTGGTTGAATCCTTGGGTTTTCCTAGGTATAATCATGTCATCGCAAAGAAAGAGTGAGAGTTGATCTTTCTCTCCCATTGGCACCCTTAATTCTGCTCTCTTGTCTGATTGCTGTAGCAAGGACTTCCAGCACCCTAACCCGAACCCTAACCTTTCACCTCTCACAAAAATCAACTCATGCTGGGTAACAACTTGAACATAGGTGTGAAACTATTAGAATCCTAGAGGAAAACGTTAGAAATACTCTTCTAGACATTGGCTAGGCAAAGAATTTATGAAGAAGACCCAAAGGCATCATAGCGCAACAAAAATAATAATGGACCTGATCAAATTAAAAAGCTTCTGCACAGCCAAAGAAATATCAAGAGAGCAAACAGACAACCCATAAAATGGGAGAAATTTTCGCAAAGCTATACATCCAATAAAGGGCTGATTACTAGAATTTATTTAGAACTCAGGAAAATCAGCAAGAAAAAAATCAACAACACTATCAAAAAGTGGGAAAGGACATGAACAGAATTTTAAAAGAAGACAGAATAAAGGCCAACAAACATATGAAAATTGTTCAACATCTCTAATCATCAGGGAAATGCAAACAAACTGCAATAAGATATCACCTATCTCCAATAAGATGCTTATCAAAAAGTTCCCAAACAATAAATGCTGGCATGGATGCGGAGAGATAGGAACACTCCTACACTGCTGGTGGACTGCAAAACTGGTTCAGCCTCTGTGGAAAGAATATGGAGATACCTTAAAATGATAAAGTAGATCTACCATTTGATCCAGCAATTCCACTACTGGGCATCTACCCAAAAGATTAAATGACACTGTACAAATGGGACACCTCCACTCGAATGTTTATAGCTGAACAGTTTACAATCACAAAGTTGTGGGCACAACCCAGGTGCCCACCAATACATGAATGGATTAATAAAATGTGGTATATGTACACCATGGAGTACTACTCAGCTTTAAGAAACAATGGTGATTTAGCACCTCTGTATATTCTGGATACAGCTGGAACCCATTCTACTAAGTATCTCAAGAATGAAAAACCAGCACCACATGTCTCACCAGCAAATTGGATTAACGGTCAACACTCAAGTGGACATATAGGAGTAACATTTATCAGTCGGGCAGTGGGAGGTGGAGGAGAGGGGGCATGCGGAATATATGTAACCTTACATTTGTACCCCATAATATGCTGAAATAAAAAATAAAACAAAGGAAAAAAATCTGTCAAGTGCTTATACTCTGTCCATTTGTGGGTAGGAGGGGCCAATGTGGAGTCACTGGCTTTGTTTCCGCCCTCCTGCCTTCCCTGCCCTCCTGCCTTCCCTGCCCTCCTGTTCAGCATCCTCCGCCCTTCCCCCCCCAGCATGCCTTGCAGCTGCAGACACACCTGAAGGGGTCTCTTCCAACCTCCTGCCAGGAGGGCTAACAGGTCTGGGAGGAGGACAGAATGAGTTTGGTGTCAAGTGCCAGAGAAGGGTCTGACACTTAAGAGGC